ATCTAAAGTCACATTAAGAATATTGTAGATTTTAGCCCCAAATGTGGAGATTACAGGATAAGTCCAGATCATATGAGTTATGGGAAGTGGCCACCTATCTCTCCTTACTTACATTTCCCACATAAGGGAAGCTTTTTTTCTGGACTAGGTATTATATATTGCCCTTGGCATTATTACAGGAAAGATATTCTAAAATCCTTTATGAGAAACATGTTTGCCCATGTGGAACTGAGGATACTGAAACAGACCAACATGTGATATTTTACTGTAGCATTTGCAGGGACATTGGTAATGCTTATCTTTTATCCCTGCTTCATCAGTACTCTGGAAGAAAAGACAATGTTTATATGAGCTTACTTCTTTCAGTATGTCTGTAGAAATCTCAATGGTAGAATCTAATCCAGGATTTGTTTATGTTAATCTTCAATCTACCTTGATACAGTTCTTGATCAGATCCCGTATATATACCATTTTCCAGACTGGCATTTTCCTATTGCTTTGGAGGTATAACTTATTGAAGATAGTAATTAGGCTAATATATATGATAGAAAGACCATGAAATTTCCATGAGCTAGAGGTATACAGCTGTTCGCACACAACAAAATATCTGACCAGCGTGAAATCTATTATATTTTGAGTCAGTGATCTGAAAAATTGAGAAAACTAATTTTTCCATTTTTATGTCATCAAAAAGTAAAACAATAAATTGAGAAATATCATGATAAACAATGTCTTCTTTCTTCTATCATTATTGCTGTTATTATTCTGTAAGTATATAGAAGCAAATAGAAATATCAGATGTTATTTGCTAATAAATGCTTAAGAAATATGCTGATATTATTCTGTTTGCAGCACTATATGCACTGGGGATGCTAGTCTGTAATGATGGATAGCCTGATCTCAGGCAGTGGGTGTTATTGATTTCAAGCCCTTAATTAGTGCAGTAATATAGACAAATTAATACATATAATATGAAATGTACAGTGTTTTAACCACATTAAGATTTAGCTTGAAAAACATTTGCTATTCAGCAAAAATTACCTGAATTAAAATGTTGGATTCATTCATTACTGAGCCTGTTTTAAAGTGTTAAGACTCTCCTTCTTGACTGAAGTTTCCAGTGCTCTCTGCCTCCCTTTCATGTTCTTGTGAGCAGTATTATATTTTGTTATCGGGCAAATTACCTTTCACATTTATGCTTTGGTGAAGTTGACGTTATTTCTGCAGAACATTATTTTTTATTCAGTAAGGCAAAATGGCATCATTTTTTAAGTATTGGTCAATTTTGCCATAGAGATGAACAAAAGCCAAAAATAAAACTTGCCAGTCATGCAGAAGGTGAGCGGACTGGAGAGGGAGCAACAAGAAGGAACTAGACCTCCAGTTTGCTATACTGTTGATAATTAGTCCAACCTTTGGCCACTTCCAATACATCATAAAAGGAATTCTTACCATGATAGAGTGCTCCTGGACACCAGAAATTATGGAAGAACAGAATTATTGATATTGTTATTATTATGGTTGGTGGCACAGTCAGCCAGATGTTTAGACTGGATTTGGCATTTTTATCCACTTATCAAGTCCTTCCCAAGGACCTGAGATAGGCAAATGTTGTTGTTTGATGGTATTAAAGATATCGTCACAGGATATAAGCTGTTCCAAGTAAAGCTGCCTTTTGCAAGTGACTGATGGTGAATTTGCCAGTGTTCAAGTGATGCTCCAGATGTTTTGGGATTGTACCCAAGGTGCCTATTACTATGGGTACTATCTTTGCTTTCTTTTGCCACAGTCTTTCTACTTCTATTTGCAGGTCTTTATATTTTGTTGTTGATGATGATGATGATGATGTTGTTATTTTACCTTTATTGGCCACCCAACTTCAGTGGACTTTATTATTAATAATTTAAATTTAAATAAATAAGTATACAGGATTCTTCCCAAGATTGGACTACCTCGATCTTGCAAAGTTAGTCTTATTGGAACAAATCTCAGGGGTCTCATGTAGCATCCACCAGTTTCTGAAGCAAGATGCCATTCCTAATAAGGAAGATATCATTGTCTTGTCACAATTAAAAAGCCCCTTGAAAAAAAAGTGGTATGCAAAACATATAAGGGAGAAAGTGCTTCTTTCTTGGCTACTACTTGGGTACATGAATTGCATGCAGAGTCTGAAAAAAACTGTGTCCCCCTTCTGGCATCTGCCATTCTGCTGATGGATGTATGCTAGTTAACCAATAAAACATGTTTCCAAGAAATTGTGCTGAACGTTTTGTCAAGATGGTACATGTTATGTTGAACTATCAAAGAGAGATTGTATCCTATATCTTTTCATCTTGCATTGGCCTAGGAGTGTGACCTTAATGCAGAGAATAGTATACATTTTCACCACTTGGGCTGCAGTCAGTCTGTTTCTGTCTCAAATTATACCTGTCACACTTTGCCATTTTCTGTCTGTCTGATGAACCTAATCTGGAGAGTCATGTCCTACCCTGTATAAGATGATAGTTTGATTGTCAAGTTCTGAAGAATTTTGAAGAAAAGAAAAAGTACAATTTAAGAAAAGGTTCCATGAAGGTCAGTCTTCTAGTTTTTTGGGCCCATTTCCTATTATATAGAGGTCCTTTTATATACCACTGGTAGTTGTTATAGGTTTTATTATAGTAAATTGCATAAGTCTAGTAAATTGGCAATGAAATAATAGCTATTTATTCTTCTGTGTTGTACCTACAGGGAATATCAGAAATACTGAAAAGCTCAGTTATGACAAAGAGCATCAGTATGAAATAATGGTAACAGCTTTTGACTGTGGGCAGAAACGTGCAACTGAAGATGTCCTGGTACGTGTTGAAGTTAAGCCTGTGTGTAAACCTGGATGGCAAGGTAATAATTGTATGTCATTATTAAGTGTTAGGGTTAATTTAATTATACATTTTGTACTGGAAATTCAGAAGTATCAAAAATGAAAATAAAAGCTTAACAATAGTTTAAACTTTTAAAAAGAGAATATATAATTTATCTGTTCCATACTGGTTATAATCTAATTTCATTTAAAAACTACAAAGTTGCCTAAATTAAACTATCAGTAAGAAACACCTGGCTCCCTTGTCTATGGACTTCATTACTGGTTTTCATCCAACATGAAGTAATTTACTAATTAGAGCAAATTTGTTGAAAGGATTACATGGATGTGTCTAGAAATAATCAGGAAGCTTTGACTTATAGGAAGCTTTTGCAGTAATTTACTAATTAGAGGTTAGTTAAAATCTGCAGTAATTTACTAATTAGAGGTTAGCATCCCAACTGCTTGCAGGTTTAGGGGAAAGAACTAGTGTACTGTGACTTACTAAATGCAAAGAGAGCATAATCAGCCAGTCTCAGAGAGTTTGTGTCTAACTCACCAGTACTGCTATCTCCATGTCTCAGTCCTACTCAAAGATATGTATGCTGGAAGTAAGACACAGGGCAAACAGACAGACAGAAAATACTGTAGTGGTACTTGTAGTCTCAGTGTGTCAACCTATAGTCCTGACACTATTAGCTCATTGCTGCTGCAGGCAAGTTGGGGCACAGTTCACCAAATACTAATTCAGTGGGTCTGAGCAGAAGAATATGCCCCATATGCCTGGATCTGTTAGCACTGCTATTCTACATATACAAAATCTGTCCATTTTTTAGTGGACAGTAAAATAAGGATAGTAGGGGCTGGCATAAAAAGTTTAGATAAAGCAAAAGCTTCCTATAAGTCAAAGCTTCCTGATTATTTCTAGACACATCCATGTAATCCTTTCAACAATATGATAATGTTCTGTCTTTTGACATTTTTAAAAAAACTTTCCACCTAGTCCTGTGTTTTTCAACCTTGGCAACTTTAAGATGCATGGACTTCAACTCCCAGAATTCCCCAGCCAGCATGGCTGGCTGGGAAATTCTGGGAACTGAAGTCCATGCATCCTAAAGTTGCCAAGGTTGAGAAACACTGATCTAGCCTACAGCCACAGAATATCCTTGTAGTCTCCCATCTAAGGAATAGCTCATTCCAACCATGCTTAGCTCTTTGAAATCAGCTAATCTTCATTATGTGCTGCCACTGTGCTGGCAGAAAAGAAATAAAAAATCTCCCTTAAGCTGTTTCCTTCTTCCAGGTTTTAAAACTTTCCATCAACCCTACAGCCTTGTTATTCCCTGGGGTAGGCTCTGAGCCAAGTATTAATTCTGCCCAGCCCTGTTTGGCTTTTTGGTTTCAACCAAGGTCAGCTAAGATTGCTGCTTGCTGTAAATACATAATGAATTAACTGATCAGCTGCAGTACAATCAAATACATCAGCAATGAAAGTGATCCACCAATGGTGTTAATAAAACCAACAATCATTCATGTCTAATGCTGCCACTAATTCTGTTTTAAACTGATCACTAGTGATATGGCTAAAGTAATTTAAGCAGAAACTTAGTGACCACCTTCCAATCATTTCTGGCTGTCATCATAAACGAGCAACTGGCAGGGTTAAAGTAGAAGTAGGGCCAATACAATTGGGCTGCCACTAGCCCAAATAATTATAATCGTAATAAAGCCTTAAAAAAGGGTGTGTGCTAGAAAGTTCTTGCCAGAGATATTGGAGCAGAATCTCAGTGTCCTCTTCAGCACAGACAGTCATTTCAAATTCCAACTTTTCCACTGTGGCAGCTCTTGCATCCATGCTCAGCTTCAGTAAATTGAGAATACATACAAAGAGTAATCCCATTAGAATCTAAAATTTAGGCAGAGACTTTAAAGGTATGAGTTGGTGGGGTAGAATGGAGCCTTACGATGTTTTAATTCAGCCCATGGGATCTGAGTTATATTTGGTTCAAAATACGGAGAATAAATTATTTTCTCATGTAAATCTAAGGTAAATCCATCTCTTTCAAAAGAAAGAATAATTAGAGATGTTTTATGTTTTGTACATAGCACACAATAACAGTCAAGGGTTTATTTTTAGCATTTGTCTTTGTGACTGATTGTCAAATTTGACCTATTTAATGATCCATTGGGATCAATGCAAAGGTAATATAAGAGTATCTGAGGTAACATATCTAGGTCACATTCCTTTCTAATGTTCCCAGGTGCTTAAAAGGGATTTTTATAGAGAGCAAGAAGTGTATCATCTTGAATGAATAGAAATATAAATATGGCATGTCTCTTTTGCATATCCCCATTTGTGAATTAATGAGTAAGCTATCTCTGGATAACATTTGCTGATGGTATACAATATAAGAATATATATACTGATATTTTATGTACAACTTAAGGCTATACTGTAGAAGTCAAAAGTGCTTGTCCTTGAGAGTGAGATCAATTATTTTTCCAAAATAGCAAAAGTGAGTTTTGTTCTTAAGAATTCAGAGCAGGTTTAGCATTGACAAATGAATTATTGGAGGACAAAAGTATGTAATCTTCTCTTTCAATTCTTTTAAGTTTTACAATCTGAAGTATACTGCACTTTCAAAAAAGAAGCAAAGAAAGAAAAAGGAGATTTAAATATTTATTTATTATGTATTTATATATCACATTTATATAGCCACCTATCTCATACAAAGCGACTCTTGGCGGCGTATATATATCCAGCTATGTGGCCTTCTGATCTATGCGGTGCCATTATTCCTTTAAGTAAAGTATTCAAAAATGAAGAAATAATATATGATTTCTTCACCAAACTAATTTATAACTATTGTTCTTTGATTATTTAAACATTACAGTATTTTTATATATAGTATACATTCAGCAGTGCCAATTGCTCAGCAATATAACCTATGGCTTTGCGTAACAAAATAAGTCCTGTACTTTTCATTTTGGACTGGTGTATCTCTTGGTTTACATTTGGACCTTATCATTTTTTTTCTTTTCACTGAGGTTTCTTGGAATGTATAAATCAAAATCTTGATGTTGTTGTGCAAGACCATTATAATAGTCTTCATAGTAGTTAGCTTTGCATTAGTATACTATTTTAACCTTTTAAAACCTATTTATTGGTTTTTTAAAAAAATACTTGGTGACTTAAACAAATTTTCCTTTGTATTTTCTTGATGCTCTTGTTCCTGCAGATATTACTATGAATAGTGCTATAATGTGTTGGTCCTCTGTGAAGTTGTATAGAAATTGAAATAACTGAGTACTAATACAGTTAGCTTCTTGAGCCAGGTACTCATGCTCATTCTCTGTATGCTCTTATGTCCTGTTAATGCTGAGACTCAGATTACCTTTAAAAATAAAATGCATCATCATTTATGAAGGTATTATTAAAAGCTCCACTTTCAAGAAGATGTGCCGAATAAGAATATGTGTGGAGTAAACTTGAACACCTAAACTCAGGAAGCTAAAAATACACAATTTTTCATCAGAAAGCTTTCTATACTGGTTTAATTTAGTTGCCAGATTGAGCATTTACTCCTCTGGAATTTTTCAGTACATTTGAAAATGCAAAGACCAATTTTATATGCTGTTTTTTGCTTACTTGATGAGTTTGTGGTGTTTATTGCACTCTGCATTATTTTGTACCATGTTTCTTATGGAGATTTCAGAGTGCATTTGAAATAGAAAAGAGTCTATATAGTCTGCTTTGGGCTGGTCTGGTGCATGTGTGTTCATGTTCTTCTTCAACACTGATATAGTCCATAGCATTTTTTTACTGCAGAGACATGTCTGAACTTATTTTATTGGTTTGGCCTGTTTCCAACTGTTCTTCAGATCCTTTAGTGCTTCAGGTATAAAAACATCTACTCAAATACAGTAATGCTATGGAGTAGTTTCATAAGAGCAGACATAAGTTGCAGCTATGTATTTGGATCACTGGGTCCTCTCTAAGTTAGATAGGCACATAAAATATGTCTGGCTAGAAGGGTCTAAAGGCTATTTAACTAAGATAATCTTTTTTCTCAGTAACTAGCTATCAGTTTCAGGAATTAAAAAGTCCTCTACCAATTTTTTCCCCCTCTGGAAGGATTCAGCAGCATAAAAATGCAATAAATAATTAAGTATGGGTAGAATAATAGCATCAAAGCAACCACTGACAGCTTTATTGTCCATGAATTTCTCTAGTTCTTGATCAACAACTTGTATGTCATGATTTTTTTCCAATTATCGTAATTAAACATAGAAAACCTACAACTTATTAAAATACCCAATATATAGTTGAACTTACAACTGTGAATGTTGGCAAAGTGAATATAGTTTGGGACTTTTTTTAGTATTTTGTCCTTCCTAATCTCAGCTCTTGCAACCTTCCTCTAGACCCAGGGGTGTCAAACTCAATTGCACAGGGGGCCAAAATCCAAAACACACTTTAGGTCGC